TTTTTTTTTTTTTTTCTAATTTTACTTTGGTAATTTCTTTCTGGCTTTTAAAATTTTTAATATGCAAATAACTTAAATAGACTTAGCTTTTATATACAGTGTCCTTAGAAAATAGAATTTTAAAAAGTACTAGGAGTTTAATCAGTGCTTAAAAACAAAGATTGTGTTTTATAGTGCCTCAGTTAAGACTTTGAGCATTCTATGCTTAAGATGTATTCCTGGTTTTGGGGGTTTTTTAATTCATGTGTTTAATTCCAGTTGTTTTCCATTTTGCCTCTTTCCTCCAGCCCCATGATTTTGATGAATGCAGATTTGACATCAGTGTAAATGACAGTGTTTGGTATCTACGAGCTCAGGATCCAGACCACAGGCAACAATGGATAGATGCAATAGAACAGCACAAGGTATGGCTTTTTATATTGCTTCTAACCCCTCTCCCCCCCCCCATTTAAAAATGCTTACTATATAGACTTGTAGAGAGTTGCACATCTGGATTTGCAGTTGTTTAAATTTTATAGAAAAGTCAATGACTTGCAAAAGCAGAGAGATGGTTCTGGAATGTAATCTGTTTCTTCTAGAAGGAAAGAGTTACTTTGGCCAGACTTCATAAATAAGTGCGGGGTGGGGGACCATATGTGGGTGTGAAAAGCTAAATACAGTCAACCTTTCTGACTTTTTTTTTTTTTAACCAAACTTAATTTTACCACACACTTCTAAGGGTCAGGTTCTTAGTTAAATCTAATGCCTTCATCTCACTTTAGATATCATTGTATTCTTCCTCTATCCTTGATGACAGTGAAGTTTGCTTGGTAATAACTTTCACTAGACCAACTGTATAATCAGGAGAGATGTTAGATAGCGTTTGAACACAAAACACTTTTTTCTCTTGTCTGGGAGAGAAGCAGGCATGGCTTAAGCTAAACACCTGGTAAAAGAAGACTTATATTAGTAGATGTTTTGGATTGGGAATTCAGAAAAAAGATGACAAAGCTGACATGGAAATACAAAGTGCCCGAGCGAGGGACTAACAATAGAGGGATGGGGGAGAGGAGGGGAACGCGACTAGGTTACAAGCAATACAATGTTAGCCAACTAAGCCTGGGGGTGGGGGGATGTGGAAAGGGGGAAGGGGAGGGAGGGGGTTCGCAACGCTGAGAGAGAAAGGAG